ACCACCCAGAAGAACATGGTAGAAGAGACTTCTAGGTGACCCAGGAAGTTCCTGGCCAGGATGACAGAGGTGGTGATGAAAATGGGGCTCCACATGATCAAGAAAGAGAGCACAAGGACCAGAAGGGTTCGAAAGAGCCTCATATCTTTGCGGGAGACATTGTACTCGACAGAGTCTCCAACTTGGGGCTGGCTGTCTCGGTGTCGGAGCCTTAGTTTACTTTTTTTATAAATCTGGAACACAAATAAATAATATTACATAATAGTGGCTTCCTTTTCTTTATGAGAGCATACAAAGTGGACAAAAAACATTAAATTAAAACCATCTATGTAACATGGTCTGGTTGAACATATGGAGCACCGTCTCAAACTCCCATGTACTTCCCAGAGCTAAAACTATGTGTGGCTGACAGTCTGTATCACTTTAATGTCCACATTGGCAGAACTGATTACCCATTGTACTGTTGACAGTTGATAGTGCAAAGCTCTGCACCCACACCCACACATTTTCACCTCCAGTAATTATTAAAGGACATGCATCTCTGTTCCCACAACAAAGAAATGACTAATCATTGCAGACGGCACAAAGTCAATAGATCCGCAAATAAATGAGCATGAGCTGGGATTAATAGTTTAATGAGTAATACAGGGATCTCTATGCAACTTAACAAAGTAAGGGATAACATATCATTTACAATAGTGTTATTTAGTATACAAAATCCAATTTGGGTTAGATAAGGGGTAACGTTTACTCTTGTTAATAATTTGTTACAATTTTAGCTAATTACTTAGCATCTTATAGTCCATGTAAGCGTGAGTGTCACAGATAGGGTGGCAAGGTAATGACAAAGGTTGGACTAACTTATTGTGAGATTTTTTTCACAGAAGGAAAAATAAAAGTGTAGTTGAGATTTCCTGATCCTAAAAACTCCACCCTCCTAAAGTATAAACACTAACTTCCGGACATTACTCCATAAACCCACCTGTAATATTTTGCTGTAACTGACCACAATAATGACTCCTGGGAGAAGGAAGCACAGGGCAGTGAAGGTCACGTTAAACACAATCTCTGCAGTTGGGTCAGGCCACTTGAGAGTGCAAATGTGTTCACGTTTCTGTGGAAAACACAATAAAACACTCATTTAAAAAAAGGTAGCAACATTTAGCTTTCCTTACTACCTTCAATCTTTCCATACCTGCCGAGGGAAATCCAAATTGATCACGGTGAAGAACAGACTGAGGGGAATGCAGGCGAGTGCACAGAAGGCCCAGATGAAAAAGAGGGTGGCAGACACCATCCTGCGGTTTAAGGTGGGCACGGCCTGCAGCTGAAGGATGGCCAGGACCCTCTCCACACTGATGGAAGCCAGGGTGGTGATGATGACACAGCCGCTCATACAAATCACATACAGCACAATGTGACAGGTCCTAAACCCCAGCGTCCAGGACACAGTCCACCGCACGGCCACTATCAGCGGGATCATGCTGACAAACAGCAGGTCGGCCACAAACAGGTTGAGGGTCAGAATGGTTTTGTTGGCCAAATGCCTGCGTTCCCAGATCAGCAGGGCTGCAGCGCCCACATTGGCTGCCACAGACACCAGGAAGACAGCGGTGATAACCAGGGTCTCAAAAATAGTGATGGCAACATGATCTAAGTTTTCCCCCCCGGAAAAGAAGGAAAAATAACTTTGGTTTCTTAAATGGAGAAAGGGAGTGTGATGGTGAGTATCCATATAGATGTAAAAAGCGTGTCTACTCCTGCAGTCTGCCAGAGAAGTGAATGGGGAAATGAGCTGATAAGAGACACCAGACAACGGGAGGAGGGTTAGTGGTGACAAATCTGTGATGCTTTGTTCTTCCTACCTGAAGACAAACATTACGAGATGTTCTTTGTGCTGTGCAGTTAGACATTATTCTGGGCTACTCCAATATCACATTAGTTTCAGAAAGCCCTTTCAAAGACAATTTGTTTTCTAACATCAACTTGCATTTCACGCATTTAATGACACACTGTTCTGTCGGCTGGGATTGAAACGACTTACTTATGTGTCAATCCAATTTCAATCAATTGAGCTATTTAGCGTGTAAACCTCAAAGAAGCCGACGAGATCTAATTAGTTAGACACCACTTTTATTTACGCTGTGAATTAGATTATCGGGTTTACTTCCTCTGTAGTAATGCAGTAATTGACCAGTGGCGCTCCCCAAACACAGGATTTTCATCTTGGGCAAAACCTACAGGGATTTATTGATAAATTAAGAGGAGAAATTGACTCAATACATATTTGTTTTATCAAAACTAACACATTTATCATATACAGTGGGGCAAAAAAGTATTTAGTCAGCCACTAATTGTGCAAGTTCTCCCACTTAAAAAGATGAGAGAGGCCTGTAATTTTCATCCTAGGTATACCTCAACTATGAGAGGTAAAATGAGGGGGAAAAAAAAAAGAAATCCAGAAAATCACATTAAAGAAGAAGTTAAAGAATTTATTTGCAAATTATGGTGGAAAATAAGTATTTGGTCACCTACAAACAAACAAGATTTCTGGCTCTCACAGACCTTTAACTTCTTCTTTAAGAGCCTCCTCTNGTGTGCCTTGGCAGTCTCTAGAGTTCTACCCACTTAAAAAGATGAGAGAGGCCTGTAATTTTCATCCTAGGTATACCTCAACTATGAGACAAAATGAGAATTTTTTTTAAAAAAAAATCCAGAAAATCACATTGTCTGATTTTTAAAGAATTTATTTGCAAATTATGGTGGAAAATAAGTATTTGGTCACCTACAAACAAACAAGATTTCTGGCTCTCACAGACCTTTAACTTCTTCTTTAAGAGCCTCCTCTGTCCTCCACTCATTAACTGTATTAATGGCACCTGTTTGAACTTGTTATCAGTTTAAAAGACACCTGTCCACAACCTCAAACAGTCACACTCCAAACTCCACTATGGCCAAGACCAAAGAGCTGTCAAAGGACACCAGAAACAAAATTGTAGACCTGCACCAGGCTGGGAAGACTGAATCTGCAATAGGTAAGCAACTTGGTGTGAAGAAATCAACTGTGGGAGCAATTATTAGAAAATGGAAGACATACAAGACCACTGATAATCTCCCTCGATCTGGGGCTCCACGCAAGATCTCACCCCGTGGGGTCAAAATGATCACAAGAACGGTGAGCAAAAATCACAGAACCAAGCGGGGGGACCTAGTCAATGACCTGCAGAGAGCTGGGACCAAAGTAACAAAGCCTACCATCAGTAACACACTACGCCGCCAGGGACTCAAATCCTGCAGTGCCAGACGTGTCCCCCTGCTTAAGCCAGTACATGTCCAGGCCCGTCTGAAGTTTGCTAGAGAGCATTTAGATGATCCAGAAGAGGATTGGGAGAATGTCATATGGTCAGATGAAACCAAAATATAACTTTTTGGTAAAAACTCAACTAGACGTGTTTGGAGGAGAAAGAATGCTGAGTTGCATCCAAAGAACACCATACCTACTGTGAAACATGGGGGTGGAAACATCGTGCTTTGGGGCTGTTTTTCTGCAAAGGGACCAGGACGACTGATCCGTGTAAAAGGAAAGAATGAATGGGGCCATGTATCGTGAGATTTTGAGTGACAACCTCCTTCCATCAGCAAGGGCATTGAAGATGAAACGTGGCTGGGTCTTTCAGCATGACAATCCCAAACACACCGCCTGGGCAACAAAGGAGTGGCTTGTAAGAAGCATTTCAAGGTCCTGGAGTGGCCTAGCCAGTCTCCAGATCTCAACACCATAGAAAATCTTTGGAGGGAATTGAAAGTCCGTGTTGCCCAGCGACAGCCCCAAAACATCACTGCTCTGGAGATCTGCATGGAGGAATGGGCCAAAATACCAGCAACAGTGTGTTAAAACCTTGTGAAGACTTACAGAAAACGTTTGACCTCTGTCATTGCCAACAAAGGGTATATAACAAAGTATTGAGATGAACTTTTGTTATTGACCAAATACTTCCACCATAATTTGCAAATACATTCTTTAAAAATCAGACAATGTGATTTTCTGGATTTTCTTTTTCTCATTCTGTCTCCCATAGTTGAGTTATACCTAGGATGACAATTACAGGCCTCTCTTATCTTTTGAAGTGGGAGAACTTGCACAATTGGTGGCTGACTAAATACTTTTTTGCCCCACTGTACTAACTGTCTACAAACATGTGGTCTGTATAAAAAGTACCTGAAGGCAAGTGAGGTGTCCTAACCATATTAGCATATATTTTTAAAGCTGTTAGCTTAAAGTATGTTAACCCTTGGTGCCATGTTCCCTTTTAAACCCCCCCCCGCACACACCTTTGACTTCCAATATTGTTGGCTAGCAATACAAATCCTCGTCTTTAAATAGCACAGGAAAGGGATTAACGAACACAAGCTGTGTGAAGCAATTCATCTGGTTTCAATACTGTGAGACGAGGGAGGGGCCAAGGACCTGCAGCAGCACCTCAGTATCACACATAATTATCTTTATTTTCTACAGTATGCTACAAACAAGACCACTGGCATGCTGATGTTGAGCAGCATTTACTAGGTTCACCATTGCCGATTAGCCTGTTAGCTTTTGCTAGTTGGTCATCAACCAAGTGAACCGTAAAGATGATGTGAATGACATTAGTTCTGCAGGTATTTGGTCAGAAACCTAAGTACTAAGCACATTTAAATGTTGCCTTGGTGGTTGTTGTATCCTTAAAGGCTTAATATAAAGGAAAATAATGCAAAAGATTACAGCCATTATATCAAAATGTGGATATAATGCCTGTAAGCATATTTCTAATGCACCTAGTCTATGTTGAGATATTTCACTAGATTAGTGAAGTCTCAAGATCACCAAAGTCCCTCGAATGTATTCTTTAGCGACCTTACATTTCTGCACTGCCACTACACCTGCTGGTAAAGCAAGATAACATTTTAAAATCCAACCAAAGCTTTGTGGAATACTTCAAATACTAAAAAGCACAACATCAGCAATTCAACACAGTAGTTTATTAAAATAACCTGTACCTCTGGTTACACAGTACAGAAACTGAAGAAGACAGAATTGAAGTTCTCGGCTGAGCTCAGTCCAGACAGGACTCTAGGTGGACCATCAGTTCTCGGTACTGACTGCTGGGATACTCGGCCCGACAGCCGGGACACGCCAGGAAGCTTTCATTCAGCAAGCTGCCGTAAGAGGAGCACGTGGAGGGGGGGTGTACCGCTTCACATGAGGTTTGATCCGGCTGGTCTCTCTAATATAAATGGAGTCATTGATCAGTTATTCAAAATCAACTTTTCAACTAGTTCTATAATTTGTGTCCAGAAAGAACATACAGCTGTATTTTTCAAAATCAAATTAAGATATGTAATTTCAAACCGGTGATTCATAGTGACTCGGCCAGAGAAATGATTACCAACTTATTCTGCCCCAAGAAAATGTAACGCAGCTTAAAGGTTCATCACTAATAAAGTTTGGATATACTATTTACAAATAAGTGATTTTCATACCAACCTGTTCTTTATTTGTTTGCAGCCTCTTCAGAACCCCGCCCGTTTGTTTCTTTAAATACGCACAGTTCTGCTTCTCATCATCAAGGTCTTGTGAAGAAATCTTTATCTAAAATTAGAAAAGTCTCCATTACAATATCAAAAAGTATAGCTGTAGAAATATATATTTTTAATTACGAATAATTCGTAGTTTAGATTGCGAAAATGATCTGTGTCATTACTGAAAGTGTATGAATTAACAACATGCCTTCATTTCTAGTTAATACTAAGGATGTATTCAACCGAGGGGACAAGATCATCGATAACCGATACTTTCATACCTGTCGCTCCAAGTCTTCAATCGTTTCCTGGTCTGCATGGTGACTATTCAAAAAAGCCTTCTGCATGACAGTAGACTAAAAAGAGAATGTTATTCTACATTTGGAGGCTTTGCATTTTTCCTATTTGCTAAAAAAAAAGTTCAATTAAGACCTACCTGCAGAACGATGCGTGCCGACTTGCGCTTCTCCTCATTCAGTCTGCATTGAAGGTCTTGAGTCTCAGCGGTGATCCATTGGTCCTCATCCTCAGAGCATTCAAGAGGTTCCTGTGGACTTTTTCTGCTCGTAATTTCATTTTGCAGCTGCTGCTTGAGCTCTTCCACCTCATGTTCCCTTTCTTGGCAACTAAGGATCAAACAGCTTGTCAAGTAGCTGACTAGTTTTCAACTTTGCCAACTTTAAAAAAGGTTTCTAATGTTCATTTTGTAGTAGCAGACATACTGGTTTCGGGTTATTATCAGGGTCTGGTGGATCATGTTGACCTGCTCCCTGAGCACATCCAGCTCCTCTGTGGCTTTCTGTAGGAGTCTTTCATAGTGCTGCTGCATCTGGGTTAGTATTTCTTCATTCTCTGTAATAAAGGAGGCAGAAATGGTAATGTTAAAATATAGATGTATGTACAATGCATGATTTGTCCGATGCATAAAGACATAGATCCTTAAAGACAGGGTCCTTGAGGGTGATCTTGATATCTTAAAAACGCTGTTGTGACAGTCTGTTGCCCCTTGTTGCTCCAGTGGTGAGTGCCCACTACCCACTGTCCCTCTGGCTCACCCTCTGAATGCTCCTCATTGTGCCGCTGTGAGCGACTCTGATTGGCTTCATTCAGCTGCTTCTCCAGCCATAACATTCTGGCCATGATTTCCCTAACATAGGCCTCTCTCTGCTGGTCATATGCCAGCCACTGCTTGTTCTTCTCCAAGGCCTTGGGGGATTGAATAAAAGAATGAGAAGCACATAAGAGAGAAAGACAGAAAGAGAGTTGTGCCAGGGTTTAAAGCAAAAAAAAAATCAGTAAGACATTTATACTGTACACAGAGACACTGCTTCACTTAGATACAAATGCAAAACAGGAGAGTTAAAGATGAAAAAATAAAAGAACGTTGGATTAGGCACAAGTGAAAAATTAAAACAGTAGAGACATTTTCCAGATGTGTGGTCACTACACAGCACTTACATCACTGAGTTGCTTTGGGAGCTCTGCTGTGGTTATTGTTGAGTCCCATTCACTTGAGGCAGAGTCCTACTTGACAAGGAAATTACAGCACAGCATTACATATACGTTAATGAACAGACTTTATATATATATTTTTTTTTTATTTAATAAAAAACAAAACATAGTGAGATGTCACAACAAGGTCCAACGTACAGCCCAGTGGGATTTGAAGCATTATATTCTTTGTTTTATGACCTCTAACATATCCAGAGTGTCACTGGGAGGGTATGCTATGTATGAGGAAGAGTGTTTTTAATGGAGAACAGTGATCCTTCACTAAATGGAAAACACTTAAAAACAACTGCTGCCATCTAGTGGTGTAAAACTGCCAAGAGGCTAGAGAAGCTTTCTCAGTAGGAAGCAAGTAGCAACACAACCAAAAGCATTTTGTTTTTTAAAAGAAGGACATTTTGACAAATCACAGCATTTAAAATTAAAAATCAAATGCTGGGGGTCCTTGGGCTGAGGGTCCTTGTATTGTGCATGCTGGCTTTCAGTTATCATGACTTACTGGGACATGTGAATGACGTTTCTGTGGAAGTGCCAAATAACATAAGATGTAATAGACGATTTTACAAGAAGAAAGGAAAAAAACTTGTTGTAATTCCCATAACAGAACACATATTTTGCTATGTAACAATATAACAATGTTTTTCTTATAAAAGGGCAAGTATGTTTGTTTAAAGATGCCTTATCATTAGTTACTTGCATTAAAATGTATAGTTTTACCTTCTTCCCTGCAACTTTGTTCTCGAGATGTTCACACCTAGTTGAAACACTCACAAGCTTGTTCTTGATCTCATCAGTGACCCCACAGTAACTGGATAGGCTTCTTTTTCTTCTCTTACTCACTACGTCCATCAGATTCCCTTCTTTCTGTCTCAACTGCTTCGACGGCAAAGCAATATTCTCCTGTTTGTCTGTGAGCTGATGAGAACTCTCCAGTCGAAAGGTTTCAAGAGAGAGGAAGCGCTGCGAAAAGACATTACAAATATATATGGTTTACTATTGATAAACAACTCTAAAACAAAATCCTGCAGTACAGGTTGAAAAATATTTAAACAGCACTGATAGTTTGGATGAGTAGTTTGAATAGGTTTACCTCTAGCAGCTTGTTATGTTCTGAATGTTGACGAGACAGCTCAGCCAGGGTCATCTTCAGGTAGGAGTTCTCCTTCCTCAGACTGCTGACAACCACATCAAGCTCAGGGATGGGCTTTCTCCTAGGGCTACCCTTTTGTTTGGGGGACGCCATCTCAAGCACCTGTCAACAAATATAACAAGACACTTTCAAGAAATAAAACATTTTCATTTTTTGTCAGAATATACTATTTCAACTCTGAATGGATCCAAGTTGATCACAACAACTGGAAAAACTTAACCCAAGATAGTTTTCTAATCGTTTTTGAAGAGAAATAAAAAATACATTCACAGCTTATTATCAGATCAAAACAATCTAATTGTAATGCAGGCAAAATCATGCAATGTATTACAAGATTTTATTTTCAGTCATCTGATAAACATTAAAAACACCAACACTAGCTGACAATGGCCTCCAGATGTCTATTACATTTAATTCAAACCTGGAGCAGTATTTCAAGAAATCGAAACATGCATATATCAAAGCTAACATGGCCCAGTGCTCGGCAAATATTTAAATATCTGACGATCACTGAATCAGATTAAAAAGCTCCAGAAATGCCACCTAATGGTCGTAGAGGACACCGTTTTGGACTATTTTGGCTACAGTAAATTATTGATAACTATGTTTAGTTCATCACAAAGGGTAAAAAAGTAGCCAAAATTAACAGATATCACATCCTCACTCACTGGCTCAACAAGGAATGGATTGGTGGTTAAACTGGATGCTGAACTTGCTAAACTAATAGCTAACGTTAAGCTAACGTCAATTTAGCAAACAAATACCTATTTGCACACACTTTAAAGCTGTGTTTTTGTTGCAGGTAATATTGACAAATGTAACATAAAACCATATAATGTTGGTTAAGCTAGACAGGTAAGCATATGTTGGGTGGAACAAAAACAAAAGTTGAAAAAGCGTTAATAGCAACTGTAAACTAAAACCTTGCTAGCATACATTGTTGATTCATTAAGTGTACGAAACATGACTTTCAACGTCAGATTAAACGCCTAAATGAATCTTGATCATTTTAGAATGCGTTTCGGTTTCACTGTGCATTGCATTAGCATATTTAGTTAGCATCGTTACCTTGGGAGGGAGTGATGGCCGCTAGTTCAACAGTCTGTCATTGGATGGATTATTGTGCTACTTTAAATAACGCCGCCCAAAATCCACCGCCCACTATGACGCCGACTTTAGCTTCAACAGAGCAGTTACCGTGCGAGCATTTGGACATAACAATGATGTAGTTTATGGGGCAGCGCTTTTTCTTACTTAGTGCTATGTGTGTTTTGATTGTGTTTATTTTTAAAATTATGGAGCGAAGGCTGAATCCGCCTTCTATCATATTTTTCTTTTAACCCTAGGGATGCACGAGTGACTGGACCCTACACTCTGTCATAGGGTCTAAAAGGACCCGTATAAGAATAATATGTGTTTTTATGACATTTTTGTCATTTTGGTTAAGAAAAATCACTTGTATAATATTTAGTATTGTATTTTGGTTCACATTAGAAATATTTTATATTACATTTTTCACAATTTATAATTTTAGACATTTTTTTTACATTTAAAAAAAAAAACGTTTTGTAAAAATGTAATTACTAAAATAATTCAAGAAAACCACCTCACCGGGTCCAAAAATACCCACGTATGGGAGCTTGGGGTAGTTGCTAATACAAAAACTCGAATTTCTTAAAATGTATAAAATGTAAATTTCAAATTTGAATGGTGTGATATTCAAAACATGTTTTTTGAGGAATAGTAGGAATATGAAATGATAAAACCTTTTAATTACAAAGATACTAAAAGAAAACCACCTCACCGCGTCCAAAAAGACCCACTTATGCATTCTGCGAGGGTTAAGGAAGGATGCATTACGTACAACGCCACTGGGGGACGCTGCAGTACAAGAGAAGAGTGGATCGACTCTGCACAATCAATATTAAGTACGAGGCATTTAAAAGTGTTTAACTAAAAAGCTAGACTGACTATCCGTGTGATATCTGAGTTTTTTTCTCCTGCCAACTTCCCACACTCATGTAGGCTACTACTTGTGTTTCATGCCTCTGACTCATGAGCATGCTCATGAGTGAGGTTGCCTTGCGGAATCCACTCCTCTCTTGATCACATCTGTGTGTTTCAGTTTCCTCTGAGGGGCTCCCTGTCTCTCCTCGGAATATGATTCGTTTCTTTTAATAAGTTTGGAGTTTATCAAAATGCTGCGGGTCATTGTTGAGTCCGCTAGTGGGATCCCCAAGAAGACATTTGGAAACCCAGATCCTATAGCTGCGGTTGTCTTCAGAGGTGAGACTTTTTATTTAACTTTTTAACTTTTTAGTTTTGGAAACTACTGCAACTTTGTGCACCGTTGACTCTATTCTAACTTTTTTTGACATCACTAAGGTAGTAGCCTTGCAGTTTACATTAGGAATCCATTCTTAGAGCTTAATTTGAATATTTTGGTAGTGATTCATTATCAAAACGAAGAATATGTCCATATAAGGTCATAATAGCACTGTGTCCAACGATAACAGCATATTATGGACACACGGCTTGAACTACCTATTTAAAATAATGAAATTCCAAGTTTATTCAGTATTTTTTATTTTTGGAAGAAGTCTCTTTGTCCAGGGTTTTCTCTAGGACATAATATGGTAACACAGCTTGTGAGTTTTTGCAAATAAGGAAGCTCACTGTTCATTGTGTTTACAGGTGAAAAGAAGAAGACCAAAGCAGTTGACAATGCACTGAATCCTGTATGGAACGAAGTAAGTAATGGATTAGAGTTAACTATTAGTTGTGAAAGTTACAGTGTTGACAGGGAAATGAACCATTTTAGGGCTGCTATTACCTCAGTTAAAACGACTTGTTGTTCTCTGTAATTACAGGTGCTTGAATTTGATCTAAAAGACTCTTCCTTGGATGCATCATCATTCATCAACGTGGTTGTCAAAGACTATGAAACAATCGGCAAAGACAAGTATGTGTATGACAAGCATCAGACATTGAAATTGTGACTTTTGCATTTTTTATATTATCTTCTAAAGACAGTGCTTTTTTTGTCAGATGTGAATCAATACATGACCCAGTATGACTACATAATGATACTTTAAACACATTCCTGCCTTGCAGAGGAGAGCCTGTGAGTGTTAATTACTTCCCCACAACTGAATGTAGGTGGTCTTTACAGAAACCCCCACCCCCCAAAAAAACCCACCAATGTTACACTGTGTAATGCAGGTAATGGATGAATAGAAAATCTCTCCACACATCTACTTCTTGAGAAAGTAGATGAGTGATTATGTGAAAGTGCTTGTTTCTTTGTACTTCAACTACACTTTTAATTTGAATGAAGTAGTCATTATGATCTTTTCTTAAGAAGCAGAGCAGCATGTTTTATCTTAACTGAGATGTACTGTAGGACCCACAGCGGCCATGTTAAGACTTGCAGATGTGTTTACAAAGACGTTGTTTGGTCTTCCTCACAAGAGCATTCCAGTTGTTATGAGGACTTTTTCCTTAAAAGGAAAACAACTCATTTATTGGTGCCCCTTATGAAATACCAATATTGCAATGTAAGATATTTATGACTTCTCAATTTCCTATCTGTTTGTTTGGATCACACATACATTTTGGAGTTGGAGTATCTTCCTCTTTCTGCAGTGCAGGCCAGAAGCTAGAACATAATAACATTTACATTGAGTCATGCTTGTGACTGATTATGCTTGATATCAATTATTCTGGGGCAGGAACAAGGGATGGGGTGAGGGTGGAGGGGTGTCTACATCAGCCACGCACACACTTGGATATTTTTCCATGATCACTGCCTGAAAAGGAGGAGGAGGGGGTATATTCACCATACGAGAGCTTGCGCTGGCTTGTCACTGGCACATCTCTGAAGACTAGTTGTAACTCAGCCTGTAATGATCTGCAAAATAGAGAAAACAGTAGAGTTGATACTGACGGGGACTATGTTTGATACTGGCAACATTGTGTGACCAACTCTCACTTACTTTCTCTGTTTATGAAAACCTAGAGAAGTAATATGACCCTAACAAGGGTTTGTAATCTGTAGGTATATCAAGATATGCCGTTTTGCAGACTGCTCAGTTTGTTTGACAAAGTTTGCTTTTTGGCTATATAAGCTTTATTTAAAAATAATATGTAAGTGGAAAATACATCAGTATGCCAGCCAAGATAATATTATCTGACTCTTTTACTGTGTTTTGTTTCTTTAATGAAGCAGTTCTAAATACTTCAGAATAAAGTTTGAAGTGGTATTTTCTACTTTCCTAGGAAAGTTGTGATAGTTTGCAGGGCTGCACGATATATCGTGTCGTGACGATAATCGCGTTATGCGCGATATTTACATCGCAGGACGTGCGATATTAAGTTGGCAAATGAACTCTAACACGTGATGTTACAATTATGTTGCTGCTTGCTACAAAAGGAAAACTCGCGCGGCTCTCATGTCAGGACGTACTTGAGTGAGTGACATGCAGGCTCTGCATGCAAAGCAAACCACCAATCACAACCATTCTTGATCAGATCACAGCAGGATAACCGAGCTAGCTCAGCTTGTTGCTCTGATAACTTAAGATCCAGAAGTCCGTGACTAAAATCCTTCATCTGGTTAAATATTGTCAAAAAAATACCAGTTATAAAGCATTGAAGTTCAAGAAAGGATGGTTTGCGGACAAAAAAAACTGTCTTTTTTTCAATTCCTGTCTTTTTTTCCTATCGCAATATATAAGGCAGGGGAAGAAAATATCGCAATGTCAGTTTTTTCCAATATCGTGCAGCCCTAATAGTTTGTAAAAATCAGTCCTTGCGTGTTCGGTTAATTGCAATTCTAGATATATCTGTGTGATGACGAATAAGGAGCATGAGCACAATGATGAATATGATCTTGCCTGCTTGCTCAAGACTCCCTTCCCCCCCGCATCCATTGCTCTACATTTGTCCGCCCTCAAACCGGGTGCCCAGGACATGCCTGTGGTAGATGTTAATTGTTTCCATCCCTCTGCTTTTCCTTGTGCACCCTTTTATCCTCTTGGGGCTTGTCCTTTGTAACCAGCTGGAACAAAAATATCCCATTTGTTTGCCTAAGTGATGCTGCTTGTCAAAGTGGACATTTATCATGTTTTTTTTGTCATGGGATCATTATTTTGAAAATGCCCATTGTTTTGCAATCCATTGTGATCATTAATCACTGTTGCTACGTGATCTCTGTTTGGTAGATAGAGTAGGTGCTGTATCTCTGTTTGTCATATTAAGTGAAGAAGTGAAATTAGGAAGTAGAAACCACCAACTATCCTGAGGAGTGAACCATTTCAGCCACAAACACCGTGCCCAATTACATAATGTGATCATTTCAAAGATATTGTGCAACAGAAGCATCCTCCTTTCTCTAAACTATTCATCCGATCAAACAATTGTTTTTCTCAAGCTGCAGTGATTCAAATATACTTGATTGCTTTTCAGGTTAATTGGATCTGCAACCATCTCTCTGAGAGACTTGGCCAGCGGTCACTTGATGTCCCTCCCATCCAAGAATGTGCCGTTGATCAATGAGAAGCAACAGGCTGTTGGGGTGAATATCTTTAAAATGACACTTTGGCAATTTTATGACACTAAATGTAAGCCATGCCAGTCTCAGCCCTTGCAGTGGATTAATACATCGTGAATTTCATTTTTCAGGCAACAATCAATTTGCTGATTGGGTATGAGCCGCCTGCCAATGCTATGCCAAACCTAAATGACCGACCCGATGTAGACACGTCTCAGGTGGATGGTGGTAAGTAGACAGTCTAAAAATAGAAATAAAATAATACATTATTTTTTCATTCCTTTCCAAAAAAAAGAAAAGAAAATATCCTTATCTTTTATAATAATTCATGATTATACTTTACTTAGGGTATCCTGATTTACAAGATGAGGATATACAATACAAAATAAATAAATAAAGACATGTCTCCAAAATGCAGTTTTACCACCAACTAACCCTCTCAGCAACTGTAAGAAATCTAAAAATGGGATCCAAAATGCTACTGATATGGGTTTCAATTGTTAAAATATACTTAATTTTTTATCTAATACTGGATAACAATCCATTGATCCACTCGGATACAAAATAAGGGATTACTGGTAAGGTGTGTAAGTTTTGAGGTATCCGTAATTGAAAGAAACTCTGATTATTGTGATTGATTTCACCTACATTTATAAAATAATGTTGTTAGGAGGTTAGCAGAAAAAACAGCCAGTGTTTTTCTTATGAGTTTTGATCCAAAGAATGTTGTGATTATTCTGGTTTTTCTCCACAGGAGGAGGTGATGAGGGTGATGAGGGGGAGTCAGACGTGGAGGGGGGAGGCCAAAGTGGAAGCCCAGGAGCCCCCACCTCACCAAGCCAGCCTGGGAAACCGAGCCACAAGCCACAGCGTCTGAGCAGTAAGAGGCATCGGGCCCTGGCCAACAAGCCTCAGGACTTCCAGGTATTGTCCGAGTTTTGATGGTAGTATTCCTGGATAATCACAAATGCAATTTAAGGGTACAATTCCTATAAATAATCACGTGAATGACAGCAGCCCTCACTAGTGCTACTATACACTACATGAAGTGGTCACCCCTAGATATTTATTTATAACATTTATCACTCCTGTTGGAAAATTGCATACATTTAAATCGTTCTGCATCAGGGCAAGCAATTTCACATATTTTTGTTTCTATAGAGGTCAGTAAATGTATTTGAGCAGTCTAGCGTCCGCCCTGGATAAGTTGGTATTCAGCACAAAATGATTTTAAATGTTTGTTCAGCTACCTCTCTGTGGTTTGCAATGTTCAGATTCGTATTCGGGTTATCGAGGGTCGACAGCTGCCTGGCAACAACATCAAACCAGTGGTTAAGGTGAATGTCTGTGGGCAGACACACAGGACCAGAATAAGGGGAGGAAATAACCCGTTTTTCGACGAGGTAATGAACCATTACCACAAAAAATGGTGTATCCTGTAAAAATGTTGCTATAACTCGCTTTTGACTTTTTTCTTGCTTGTAAACATCATCCTGTCTTCTCTCTTTGCCGCTTAATCCCCTCCAGCTTTGAATATCCCATTGGGTATTTCTCTCTGTATCGACAGCCGTGATATGACAGTGGACCTTAAAGGACCTTCAGCTTTCTTGTATTTAACCCCTCTCATTTTCTCTTACCTTCCCCTTTGCCAAAGCATAAGCATCTTATCCAACTGTAAGTCCTAAGAATGTTCACTGATCGCAAAATGTGTCCAACACTAACATGTATTATGCATACAGGGACATGAGAAATACTAATTTGTTCATGACTTCTTTCTGTCCTGCAGAAGTTTTTCTACAATGTTAACATGCTTCCCTCAGAATTGTTTGACGAAAGCATCAGTCTTCGGGTGCGTAGAAAACTCATTTTTAAGCTATATATTTTTTATTTTTTTATGTCTGCTAAATCTGTAAACTTGTGTTTATCTCGACAGGTTTATGACTCCTACTCCCTCAGATCTGACAGTCTAGTGGGAGAATTCAAGGTATGCCAAGTGAAGATCTTTCATGTCCTTATCTCTTCTTTATTTCAGAAGTTTTACCTGTATTGGTTTATCTCTCACAAGTAGAGACTCGCTGTAGCAGGATTGTGGCTTTTATCACAAGCAGGTTGAGAGATTAAAAAGATTTCCTATAATTCAAAGGTTTTTTCTTTCCTACCCAGCTGGATGTCGGCTATGTCTACGATGAATCAGGTCAGACTTTCCATGTAAAATGCATACCTTATAAGAAAATAAAGTCTTGTTTGTATATATTAAATATATTTTAGGTGTTTGAATGTGTTGAACATTCTGCCATGTACAGGTCATGCCATAATGAAGAAATGGCTCCTGCTGGGTGATGCTGATGACTCAAGCTTGGGGGCCAGAGGTTACCTGAAAGTCAGCATAATTGTTTTGGGCACTGGAGATGAGCCACCAGTGAGTATACCTTCTTTCTTACCATCAGGTTTCTCCCTACTGGATACAGAGTACAGATCAGTTTTGAAATAGATCATAACAAGTTTCACTCTCCTTCTGCAGACTGAGAAGAGGGACATAACTGCGGATGAGGACGACATAGAAAGTAATCTCTTGGTGCCTGCTGGTGTCACAATGCGATGGGCTACACTCAGCCTCAAGGTGTACCGAGCCGAGGATATGCCACAGAGTTAGTGACCCATAAACTCTTGCAGCAATTTTATTTTATTGCAGTCAAATCTCCTTCAAAAATCTTGTATTTACAACCTTCTTCACTTTGCAGTGGATGATGCCTTCATCCAGACAATTAAACAGGTCTTTGGAGGGGATGGAGACACAAAGAACTTGGTGGATCCATATTTGGAAGTCAGCTTTGCTGGCAAGAAGGTATTTAATGTTTAATTAAAAAGATAAATGTGTTTTTAATGATCTTACTGTTTGAATATTATTGACACGCAATGGCACTTTCTTTATTTCAGCTGTGCACCAAAATCATCGAGAAAAATGCTAATCCGCAGTGGAATCAACTCATCAATCTCCAAGTCAAGGTTAGAGAAATTTATAAGATGTATTTATGGGTTTGATCTAAACACTTCATTCTTCAGCACATATCAGCACTTGCTTCTGTCTGCCTCTGTAGTTCCCGTCCATGTGTGAACGCATCAAGCTGACTATGTTTGACTGGTAAGAAATAAACTTCATTCATACACAGCTGAACGAGTGACAATAATATCACAACCAATATTTGACATTCCAGTTTTCTCTTTGCAGGGATCGTCTCACAAACAATGACGCCATAGGAACAACGTTTTTAAACCTAAGCCAAATGTCTTCCTCTGGTGGAGAGGTCGAAGGTAATCCTTTAATCTTTGTTTTTCTAATGATTGGTGTTTTATATTTTGATAATGCACTATGACGGTTAACCCTCCTGTTGTGTTCGGGTCAAATCTGACCGATTTACTACTTTCATCAATCATAACTTTTTCGTTTACATTCGATTGCATTAAGGCTTTATGATATCCTTCACAGTAGACATTTGAACATATGCAATTGCTGACTACCACTTTCATAGAATTTTGGATGATTTAGTCAACTTTGTAACACCCATTGTGTTTCTGTCCAGGTGAGTTGGAAAGCAGAATCTGGAAGCTGAAGGACATCATCCTTGTTCACCTG